AAAGCCACCAAGTACACTAACAGAAGAGCATCCCCTGGGTAGGACTGCAGAAAGTCTTGGGATTTACAATGCTAAAATCAGGGGTTCAATTCCCCTCAGTGGACACAGCAGATACCCAATGTGGATTTGTTATAACTAAACACACACACAGAAAAACTCATCCAGGCATGTCCGCAAGAGTTTTTGGGAGGGGGGTGTGCAAAAACTTGAGATTTTGCCAGAGTGTATTCTGGTTGCCGTGCGTAGCGAGGCTACTACCCTAGGGGAGTCTGGAGGCATCCTCCCCCAGAAAATGTTAAAAACCTAGAGATCTAAACTATGTGGAAAAATGTAAAACTTTATTTTTCTGTGACTTTGACCTCATGTCATATTACATAACTGTTAGTATTTCATTAACAAAAATATCTATACAAAGTTTCAATGACATCCGTGCAAAAATAGGCAAGAAAAGTGCTAAAAATGTAAACTGTCATATATTTTAATTTCTGTGACTTTAACATTTCATGAAAGTAGATTGTCCAGCTCAATCCTGAATGAAAGTAACATAACAAATCGAGTTACAATTTCTTCTGTGTTCACAGATCAACTATAATGTGTATGAAATAAGCCAAGGTTGGAAAGCCTTTCACATGTCATGCTAGCCCTATTGTATGTATTCAATCTCCTAAGGGTGCTAGCCCCTCACAAGAGGTGACAGACAGGGTACAACCAATTTTCAACAGTATGAAAATATTCCAGTGGCATGTTTTTGAAATTGTCTTTCCTTCTTCCATACTCTTCAGTGAGAAGCTCAGGCTGTGGCAGGTCTTCGACATAAGTATCTACGGCAACCTTGATCAAAACACAGCTGGCACCAGGCCCAACAACTTGGTGCACGAGATCGCTAATGATAAAAATAAAATGTTTCTCAACAAGTGTTAAATACATGTATCTGTATAAAAATAGTAACTGGGCTACAGCAAAGACAGTTTTAACAAATTGATTTCCATACCCTTTCATTCTTTATTTTCACTATTTTATATCTTATAAAACAAAATCAACTTATAATGAAGTTACCTTAGTGCCCTTTGAAGTTTGAATTTTGTGAATTTACTTAATTTACTGAAATAACATTAAATGTCATTGAAGCTATTCTTCTTATTACTTGTCAGAAACTTATTTGGTTAAAGATACTAATACCTGTATTTATTAGTTATCATTGTGAAACTGTGAAATTATTACTGTAACAAAATCACTTACGTGACTCCAAGAAAATCCCTGTCTCTATTATCCAAATTAATGTAAAATAATAAAATATACATATATGTATAACATTTGTATTTATACTGAGTAAACTACTACTATTACTACTTAAGTAGTTACTACTATACTACTACTTAAATAGTTACTACTCTACCACTAC